CTACACATAGTAAATCAAATCATTTATAGTTCTTCTTCGTTTTTTTTTTATTCGTTCCGTCCCGCATCATGGACGCGGATGCGAGGTGCTATATAGTGCTACGCTATTATAGGTATCACCGAGATAAGCCAACGACCAATGACCATCGCTTATCGATAATTTTAGTCGCTCATTGCGAAAATGCGTTCTACGACTGAATAACGATAGCTTACTACTTACAGAAATAATTTTTGCGGGACGACGCGACGTCCTGATTCATCTTTCTTCGTCGAACTATAATAGAAGTATGTGTAAATGTCTAGACGAGACATTTTTACTTACGCATCAAGAAACGTTATATAGGAAATATTACGATAATCACGATATTTGCGAATAATGTAATTAATTATTTTTATTACGATAATCACGATATTCGCGAATAATGTAATTAATTATTTTTTAGTAATATTTCTTATTTTTACATATATAATCTTGTATATATAAAAATAATATATATATATGTATTTTAATTAAATTGTTTACTGATCTAATTAATAAAACATTACAACTAACAAAAATGCAAGATGTAATTATAATAAATATACAATTTGGGCAATAGAACAAATTGTTTAATAAATCGTTCTGTAGAAAACGAAAATACATAGCGCTTTAATACACATGTATACGTAATTAAACATTTACTTTATAACGTGAAAGCAATATCATATAATCGTTTGGAGTGTATTATGCATTCTTATTTCCACTCTTCCAGTATTATTATTAATGTCAAAACTGAATCTTCTTTGTTTTAATTTTTTGGAGGAAATGGCCCCTCTCCGATAGGTCTGTTATCGTTTTCAATTTTTCCAGGAACACATTTAGCTTTATATCCCAGGCATACTAAGTCACGACAGCATTGTTCGGTGAGCTGGCACTATAATCATAACGATTCGTTAAACAGCAATGTCTTCCGTTATAAATACATATATTGATTGCGATATTAGAAATTGTGATATTAAATTATAATTAGTTAAAGTTGTAAAAAATATAATGTGTACACGATTTTCGTATAGAGAAGAAATCACAAGCGCACAATTATTATCTTTACTTTTTGTTATTTCTATTATTACTTACATATCCGAGCCAGGGAGAGCATACAGCCTTAGACTCCGTAGAACTTGAAACAGTCGTTATGCCGTTGATAGCGACTATGACGATTAAAGCGAATACCAAGTACTTCATTGTAATGGAGAAATCTTCTGCAAATGTTTAATAGAAAAAGTAAATCAAGACTGAGTATACTCAGCGTGACACTTGATGAAATTGTGACTATAAGGAGAGGAAAAATGACGTAAGAGCTAAATTATTCTTGCAACGTACAGCGCAAAATGAAAAAAATTATTGTTGTAGTATGTTAAAATATACTAAATATTCGCATTTTATTACTCTCTAAATCTAAATAAGTGAAAAGTCACTGGAGTGGCATACTTTAGACTGATATGCCACTCCAGTGACTTTCCACTGATTTAGAGAGATACAATGTAATATGTGAAAGCAAATATTTATTTTAATTCGGCAACTGTTGAGCAGTTAATTTTTTTCCTTGATTAAACATAATTTGACATATATGGATTATTTATTAATTACCCAAATAAAAAAAGTTTTCGATATGTTTTACAAGTCTGCTCTATATCGATTACAAACACTATTTTATTGAAAAATGTTTCTATTTTAATGTACGTTGCAAGAATTCTTATAACGTATTTTCTCGCTTCAACGTCAATTCAAGATGAATGATTATAGTGTATCTGAATACATTTAGAGATTAATGACACTCGAATATATATGCGCGATTAACGATATTAATTAAAAGAAGAATGCGCATATTTTTCAATTAGCATACGTATATAAAACTGTAAGTAATACTATTAAGTTAGATACCGAAAATTTTCAAAAGACGCTTATGACTTAAAGAGACTCACTCAACTACAATTATATGACGGACACTCGTAAATTTATAGAGCAATCATCATAATCTTATTTGAGAAATCAAAGCCGATAAACTCCTATCATCAATATGTTTATTTTTTCTGTCTATAGATATCTCGGAAAAGATATGGATCTGATAGTTTACTTAATCTTATTAAACTTACTATATTACCTGCGCATAAATATTTTGCGAATATGAAAAGTTTGTATTAAAATTTATTTAAAAATTAATTATTTTTTAAAAATTCTTTCTCGGGCTCTAAATACTAAAAAAATATGTAGTAGTAGTAGTAATAATAATAACAATAATAATAATTTATTTCTGCCTTTTTGCGGGGTACAAAAGGACTCCTTTTACAAAACACTTATCTCTATAGCCCGCCTCTCTCTCTCTTTCTCTCTTTCACCTATTCCTTGCGGCCGTACAACTTACCGCTCTCTCTTCCCTTTCTCCACCGCGCTTTTCTTTCTCATACTTTCTCTCTCGTCTTTCCTCGCCGCATATAGGTATATATACGTTTTTACATTCTACGTTCTTTATAATTACTATTTACTATTTAACAAATTACAGTTTATAATTTACTGGTTCTCCACTTTTTATTACGATTTTTTTTCTCTCCACTCTGTCTTCTTTTCCCTCCGTCTTCTTTGTCCCTTTTATACTTAATATTCCTCCACAGATGTAAAGAATATATTTTTAAATTTTAATTACCGTCTTTATTATAAAAGAATTATTATAAAACGTTTTCAAGACTACAAAATATTATAGATATAATTTGTAAAATAAGATAAAGAATGTAAGAATAAAAATTTAATATTAATAATAGGAATGAATAATAAATTGATAGTAATTAATATAAGGTCAAAATTTTTTGAGGAAGTCGTTTATTTTTATTGTAAAATGGAAATTTATACGCCTCATCCATCAAACAGCACAGCAATAATTATAGGACATTATTGCTGTGCTGTTCGATGGATGAGGCGTATAAATAAACAGGCGCTTAAATAAACATGGAATATTTCTCAATAACGACACTTACACACTACCTGACGACTTGAGGCAATATTACTCGGAGGTACCGGAATATAAGGCAAAATGTCCAATGTATTGCAATCATTACATTTTGCCTTATATTCGAGTAACTCCGAGAATGGGCGACGATAATAGTAAAGATGGAGAGTGAAGAGGACAAGTGGAAGGTATTAGATGCAAGGAAAAAGGAAGGGAGCAGATTGAGAGTGAAAATGGATGAAGATAAATCACTGGAGACGAGGGTAAGAGAAAGAGAGGAGAAAGGCTGCCGGCTGAAAATCCACGGATTTACCGACGCCTCCGAGCGGGCTTACGCAGTCATCTACTTGCAGACCGAAGACGAAAGCGGAAGAGTAGAGGTAAGGATGGTGGCCGCCAAAACTAAATTCGCTCCTTTAAAACAGGTGACGTTACCTCGGCTCGAAAAATGCACTGCTACGCTTCTCACTCGGCTAGCTGCTCACATTCAGTTTATCCGTATACGTGGCAAACAGGGTGAGCGAGATGCAGATCTCGCTGCCGGACGCACTGTGGCACCACATCCCCGGACGAGACAACCCGGCGGATTGTGCCTCTAGAGGACTTTCTCCGCGAGAGCTGCTCGGCCATCCACTCTGGTGCATGGCAAGGGCCATCTTGGCTTCGGGCAGAGTCTGGACTGTGGGGGGCTCCTCCGACGACGATCGAATACCGTCGCGCGATTCTCGGAGGAGCTCTACGGAATTGACAATCGGAACAATCGAAATGCGCATATTTTTCAATTAGCATACGTATAAAACTGTAAGTAATACTATTAAGTTAGATACCCAAAATTTTCAAAAGACGCTTGGACACTCGTAAATTTATAGAGCAATATATCATCCATAATCTTATTTGAGAAATCAAAGCCGATAACACCAATCGATAAACTCCTATCATCAATATGTTTATTTTTTCTGTCTATAGATATCTCGGAAAAGATATGGATCTGATAGTTTACTTAATCTTATTAAACTTACTATATTACCTGCGCAAAAATATTTTGCGAGTATGAAAAGTTTCTATTAAAATTTATTTAAAAATTAATTATTTTTTAAAGATTCTTTCTTGGGCTCTAAATACTAAAAAAATATTCAAAAAATAATTAAAAATGATCGAACCAATGTAAAAAGTAGTAGTAAAAGTAGTAGTAGTAAAAAGTATGTAGTAGTAGTAGTAGTAGTAGTAATAATAATAATAACAATAATAATAATAATAATTTATTTCTGCCTTTTTGCGGGGTACAAAAGGACTCCCGCTCCTTTTACAAAACACTTATCTCTGTAGCCCGCCTCTCTCTCTCTTTCTCTTTTTACCTATTGCTTGCGGCCGTACAACTTACCGCTCTCTTCCCTTTCTCCACCGCGCTTTTCCTCCTCATACTCTCTCTCGTCTTTCCTCGCCGCATATAGGTATATATACGTTTTTACATTCTACGTTTTTTACAATTACTATTTACTATTTAACAAATTACAGTTTACAATTTACTGGTTCTCCACTTTTTATTACGATTTTCTTTCTCTCCACTCTGTCCTCTTTTCCCTCCATTCTCTTTGTCTCCTTATACTTAATATTTCTTCACAGATGTAAAGAATAAATTTTTAAATTTTAATTACCGTTTTTATTATAAAACGTTTTCAAGACCAAAAAATATTATAGATATAATTTGTAAAATAAGATACAGAATGTAAGAAGAAAAATTCAATATTAATAATAGGAATTAATAATAATTATTGATAGTAATTAATATAAGGTTAAAATTTTTTTCGGAAGTCGTTTATTTTTATATATCTTCAATATTTTTTTGTTTGTTACACTAGAGAAGCTGACCGCAGCCTATGTCGCATAGTATCATGCCGAAAAATTTGAATGTGGCGAATGCAGCAAGTGCGGTAAATGCGACGATGACGAAAAATTCGAATGCAGCGAATGTGGCGAATGCGAAGTTAGACAAGACTCATCTGTTGCAAAAGTACCTACCTCGATCTATCCCAACCGGAAAATGAGATCCAGGTGCAGTACATCTGGATCGACGGAAGTGGCGAGGAATTATGTAGCAAGATCAAAACTCTGAGCTTCGTGCCGAAACATCCTTCCGGTAAGCGTATTAATAATCTGATAGTTAATTAATTAATACCGGGATAGTTAATTAATTGTTGAAAATTGTCATTGAAAAAATCGTGTCGAGTTTGCCCCGAACGTCGTTTTTCACTTTTGTCACTCCAAAAACATAAAAAATTTTAAAATATGCAAGAACTATTATCGGATTTGTATAGAGCATCAAATTTTCCATCAAATTTTCCATTCCCATGGAGGGCCTTTAGAATAGTCCATTTTTATCAAATAAAATTTTATTTAACGGTATAATAGAAAATGTGAAAAATTATATATATGTGTTGTATGTCGGTGAAGTTGGCATATCATTTTCTAGCAGATAAAAAATAAAAGAGAGTTCTTGTCGCATGCAGTCGAGTTCTATAGTTCCTGATACTTTTTAGCGATAGTTCTGGTAATTTTGCCAAAAAATCCATTGAAAAAATTATCTGCTAGTTTTCCATAGCATGGAGTGAAATGCCGATGAAATCTCGGAGTTCCGGTTAAAACATTTTTCCAATAGTTCTGAACACACTGAAGCATTTTATAAAAAGTTCCTGATACTAGCAATGTTACATGATTTTTTTATAAATTAATACTGCCCGAAGTACTTAAAGAGAATAGAGTGATATGCTGTATGAAATGTCGGAGTACCGGTTTATCTAAAATATTTTTTGAATAGTTCTGAGCATACTGAAGCACTTTCTGAAGAGTTCCCGACACTAGCTATATTGCAAGATTTTTTTATAAATTTATATCGCCCAAGCGTCGCGTACTTATAGAGAGAATAGAGTGATATGCTGTACGAAATGTCAGAGTTCCGGTTTATGTAAAATATTTCTCGAATAGTTCTGAGCATACTAAAGCATTTTCTAAAGAATTCTCGACACTAGCAATGTTGTATGATTTTTTAATAAATTTAAATCGTCCGAGCGCCGCGTACTTAAAGAGAATAGAGTGCTATGCTGTGTAGAATCTCGGAGTTCCGGTTTATATGAAATATTTTTCGAACAGTTCTGAACATACTGAAACATTTTTTAAAAAGTTTCCGGCACCAGCAATATTGTATAATTTTTTAATAAATTAATACCGCCCAAAAGCCGAGTACTTAGAGAGAATAGAGTATTCTTCCCCCATTATAATGTGCTCCAAGAAGATTGTATCGCATTATAATAACAAAGAATGTTCAAGAGTAGTGCAAAATCCTGCAAAATTCTGCGTGATTATCATTAAATTAACACTACACGCAGACACCGTGGGCCTTTTAAGGCACAGTCGATTTTTCATTCATAATTCTCACGGGACGCTTGTGTCAGCTCCCCTGTCTAAAAAAAACTTGGTTCCAGCAATAGGCTACATAATAGATGTAAGCATAGAAATCACTTTTTGAAACCTCAAAGATGATACATAAATTTTTATAGATTTTTTTAACACTTTCAAAGAATCGCCGCTTTCAAAAACTCGCTTTAAACTTAAAATTCCCAGTAGGGTATCTGGATGAGTGCTTCAAAAACAATTTAATGCACAATCGTGTAAATCACACTCGAAAGAACGTGAGAAGTAGAGAAATTATCGAATGTAAATCATTTTTTAAATGTAAACATAAAAAATTATTTTATAAAGAACTAAATATTTTGAGAACATAAATGGCTTAATAATAAGTTTTCCATAACAAACATAGCATATTTTATTCTTTAATTTTTGGTTTTTCGTAGGAAATTGTTTCGAAGCGCATAGGAAATTATTTCGGAAAAGAACCGAAGACTATGGTTGTAGCGTTACCCGCTGAAAATATCATGGACATGACTACGTATTATAGTTGTTTATTGTTTATTCACGTCCATTTTATGCTCATAGAAGTCATAGAGCCTACCAGTGGACGGTTCCAGGTTCCACTGAAAACGCGGGCATGTCCTACTCTCAGACTTTTCTAACTTTTCTGCTGCAGGTAACAGATGGTAACAGATCTCGAGATCTCAACTAGTTCGCTAGTTCCGCGTCGAGTGGTTCGGGCGTGGTTCCGCGTGTTTCAAACATAACCTTCAATAACCTCTTTTATTCAACCGCATGTGCACTACGCACAAGTGTGAAAAATGGCTAAATCTCTACGCAGTAAATGGAAAAGGAAATGCAGGGCGATCAAGAGAGAACGTTACGCGGTAAAAGAATTAGACAGACTGAAGAAAACTCTTGGTATTGATGCTAATTCATCGAAGGATGTCGAAATGGCAGACATTAGCGAAATCGCTACTGGTAAGATCCACACTAACTGCATTAATTGTTTAGTAGTTTAGTTAAACCCTTATAATGACTGTTTTAGGGCCAGTTTCACCAACATCGATTAACCGTAACCTTCGATTAAACTAACTCTTCGTCTCTTTCTAAGGGGAACAGTTGGAAAGAGATGAAGAGTGAGTTTAATCGAAGGTTACAGTTAATCGACGTTGGTGAAACTGGCCCTTAATGTTGTATACATATATTATAATGTAACATGATAATGTTTTATATTGTATTATTTTTACAATTAATAGTTGTCAACGCTGAAAAAGTAAAAGAAGATGTGAAGGCTAAGCGGGTCAAAGATGTGGAGCCTCAGACCGAGACAGGTGAAGAACAGATGGAAGTGGAAGGTGCTAGAGTGTATAATAAGAAAACATTACGGGATCAATATGGCAATTATCCTGCGTGGATGAGCCACAGGAAGATAATGAAGCACAAAAAGGGCAGAGCAAAAACGAAAAAAGCAACCAAGAAGCCAGGCAAGAGACTTACTAGACGACAGAAGAAAGCAAAGGAAGAAAAATAAAATTCTTTAATTGTCGAATCAATTTTTATGTTACTTACTAATTTTTAAATATTATGAATATTGCTTTCTTCTTTTGTAAAAATAAAAAAATTTATGAAAGAAAGAATATTTTATTTCTAGAAAAAATTCAAAACAAATATATTCAGTCTAGTATGAACTGATAAGTACAAAATGCCTCTTTGTAATATGTGTAATTTATCCAATGTATGTCTATTCACAGTATTAACTTCAATCAATATTCTAATTTTTTCTTTACCAAATGTTTATCATTAACTGAATGAAACTAGAGATCTCTATATAGTGTCTATTATATAAAGAACCTTTTTATAATTAAATAACAATCATTATACTCCTTGTTAAACATTATTTTAATATTATATAGTGCTTTACCTTCATCCATATTAAAATCTAGATTAGTATGAAAGAATACAAAAATGTAGAATCTACTTCATTTTATTATAAAGACATGAGTACAAATACTCATAATATAAAAATTATACTATTACTATTATTAGCTTGATAAATATAACAAATGCTAAATGATGGCAGTGATATTTTACGACAGAAACAATTCCACGTAAATCTAATAGCTACTGTTACGTCAGTACTTTGAGATTAAAATGGCCAATATTGCTTTGTAGTTTGAAAATTAAAATAAATATTCTGGTTTTAAATGTACAGCATTGTCTCCTGTATAAACAAGTCTCTGATTTAAAAGTATTATTAAAATTGTTTTCACATATCCTAAAGGCGCAAGAAATTTATAATGAAAATATATCGCTATCTACGTAAAGTAGTATAGTAACACTATCTACTACTAAAATATCAAATAAAATAGTAGATAGTACTACTATTCATTATTAAGTATCAGATTGTATTGATAATAATTTTTGCGTGACGTTTTAGTAACTCTAGAAGTTCAACGATCCTGCACAAATTATTGATATCTGCAACGTATTCTCAAACGATTTTCTAATTCCGCGACGCGATTCATCAGATGATGTATTTTTCTTATTTCTGCTTCATATTGTCTCATTTTGGTTCTCATGTCATATACTTCTTGTTGCATCAGTTGCTAGAACAAATAATTGCATAATTCATAAACAATATAAATTATGTACATTTTACTAATACACTTTGATCTCAATATAGTGTAATTTGAGGTAAAAAGTATATAAAGAAGAATTAAAATTATACTATTAAATCATAACATTTGTTAACTTATTTGTTTCTTCCAAGAGAAAATTTGTAAAAGTCGCTATTACTGAAGTAACAGATTGAGAGATTTTTAAAATAAATCGCACAACAAAGTAAATCGGTCACAAAGATTGTAATATCAAAATATCAAGATGATATACGTTTTTTATGCTGAATGCTGAAAATCTACTCTTTTTTATTATAAGAAATATACATATAATAAAGAAAGAATTTCCAGTAATAGTACCACTTCTTACATTAGATCAGTGATGAAACAAGATTTGAAAAGAAATGAAAAATAAATATTTTTGCGCATATTTATTTACATGAGTTATTATTTATATGCGCGTCTTCTCACATGCACTAAATAATTTTAAATGGGCAAAATTATTTACGAAATTTCTGCTGTGCACTATATTGTGATTTAAGTGTATAATATTTTAATGTTTCTCAAATACCACATTTTCGACGGTTCTCTTCATTTCGTTAATACTTTCGACCGCCAATGTAACTTTAGTGTTCATCTCGGAAGCCTCTGTATCTCTCTTTCTGTTTCTGGCTACTTGCTGAAGAATTAATATATTCCCTCATCAACTACATATCGTATTAGTAAACATTTTTAACCTACCTTTTCCAATTTAATCAGTCTCTTTAAGATGACCTCGTAGTCTTGATCATCGTCGCTAACTTCATTTTCGGTATCTGCAATTCATCGATGTTCATTATTTTATATATTAATTTATTTATGTATTTTATTATAAACTTTTTGTTTTACTGGCGTGAATTGTATATTATGTTCACTAATATTATAAACAATAACTCAGAACTACCCGCGCGTGTACAGATTTTTAAATCTGAGGTATTATTTATACATATATAGAATTAAATCTTAAAAGCAATCTTAAAATTTATATATTTCAAATGAAAATTTAACAGAATTTTAAGATTGTATCATACATACCATGAAAATCAGTTGGATCCTTTGTTGCCGACACGTCATGAAAATCAGTCTCTAAATCGCGTGCCTCAAAAGCATTTTCGTCTGTGTCTGCAGAAAATAAACCAACTCTTAAAACTATTCTTCGAAAAATTCTGTCTTAAGTTTCAAATTTTGCAAACCTACCATTTCTTCGACAAGATTGGCCATCTTGTTGAAGTTGAAATCCGACTCTACAGTGACATCGATATCTACCAGGTAGATTTGTGCAAAGTTGCCCGCATGGTTTCTCCAGCACACATTCATCCACATCTGCGCGATAAAGAATATAAATTATAAATAATATTTAGTTCATTTTCAAAAAGTATTAAAATTAACATAACGTTACACGCATTATCTTATCGAAAAATAAAGAATTAATTTTTAAATAATTTAATAAAAAATAGAAAGTTATTAAAAATTGAAAAATAAAAGTTTTAATAAATTGAATTAGAAAAGAACACAGATATAGTTAACATTATGTTATTTGATTAATTTTTATATACAACGTACATGAAATTATATTTAATTGGAATCTTATTATATAATATGTTGCAATTCTTAACATATTTAATATAAAAAATTGCATTTTCTAATTTCTTTTTTATTAAACTAGATATTATTCATCTTTTCTTATCGCTTCATTAAAATCGTAGTTTTATTAAACTACTACATAATAATATATGTATAATTAGAGACAATCGATCTTAAAAGTAACGACATATGAGAGTCCGTCGCCTCGTTAAAGCATGAAGAACATTCAATCGATTACTCGGTTACGAGTGCCTTCTCGTGCCTGGTATCGTCAGACGTAATTAAATCGACGTGGAACGATATACTTCTCGATAGCATTACGCCAAGCTAACTGCGGCACAATACGTATATTGCAGTGTCCTGCATGTCCTGCTGCATCGGTCGGTTGCAACCTCGATAGATTTACGAGCGATTCCATTGCTCTACACGGATGTTCTGATCACCACTCTCTTGTATATATTATGTGAGCTATTTACTATTAAGATTGCAATCACGACTATGACCAAAAGATCGACTTATTTAAAATGTGCATGGATGTCAAACTTTTCTTGTCTTTACTTAGCAAGGTCTCTCGCCATATAAATACCTTATCATATTTGAGATAATAGATAAACTAAGTATTTAAATTAAATAAAAAAATTTTTTTTATAAACTTATTAAGTCTGCTTTATTTTGCAATATGACGTTATTTTTTGCCGCTTTAATTGTGGACTACATATATTATATATAGTGTTATTTAAAAAATATTATATATATATATATATATATGGTAATTTATATACATATCTCTTCAATTCATAAATCGTGTAATTTTCTCGAAGTTCATGATAATGAAAGACATCACATGCAATCTAGATATCTATATATGTTTAATTTGTAAGTAAAATTAAAATTACCTGTTTGGCATTGATTGCCGGTATATCCTTTGGGACATGTGCATTTGCCAGGCGATGTACAAATTCCACCATTTAGACATGGCGTTGGGCATATGGCTAGAAAACAATGAGATTAAGATTAATGGGCTTATATAGTTGAGAAAAACACAGTTGAGTAAAAAAAATGTGTAAGTATAATATTAAATATGCATTATCTTCTATATTTTATTATTTACATATTTTATTAATAATTTAAGTTAACTCAATTTTTTAAATTATTTTTTGAATTATTTATTAAAAATTAAAATAACATTTAAGTATTGGTACCAAAAAAATTTTATAATTAATTTCTGTAATATTTTTTACAAATATAATTATTCTGTAATTATATTTTAATTTGTTACAAAATGTTAGAAATAAATTTTGTCAAATTTACTTACGTTTATTACAACCGAAACTCAAGTGAGTAGCTTGTGACCATCCCGGACAACAAAAGAAACTAGAAGTCATCTCAGTGTATACTAATCTAGGATATTTCATAAATTTCTTTAATTTATTTAAAAGTAATTTATAAAACACATACAAAATATTACACGCTGTAGTGAAAAACTATCTTTTATTACTCTTGTAAACTTAAAAATATTTGTATTATAAATATTTTTCTTTAGACAATATTTATTCTAAGGTAAAATAAGTTAATTTATTTAATTTAAATAAGCGAAAGCTCTTAATTTTGTGAGAGGCATGCAACATACCTAATTTGTCTTCCTCGATGATGGTGAGAAACTGCAGGAGTTTGCCTAGTGCATACTCGCCTCCTGAAATGCAAATTGTTAATTTTTAATTCTAGAAAAGTAATAACTTTTTGTAGATTAATTTCTTGATGCATCTGTGAATTAAAATTGATTATATATGCTGATGTAATTAGTTTATAATATAAATTTGAAATATTAATTATAAATTACATAAATATTGCTTAAATTTATAAGAAAAATTTAAATCCTATGATTATTGTCTAAGAGAAAGTAAATTATTTAATAGACTAATTAGATTTACACATTATGCTGTACATATATTAAATAATTTTTCCAAGAAAAGATTTTAAAAGATATCTATTTTTGACAGTTGTTTATTTAAATTGATACAAAACTACTCGTATTATCATATACATATATATAACTAATAACAATAATAATAATAATAATAATAATATCGCTATATTTGAAAGCAAACTGGATGTATAAAAGACATCACAGAGATGTTATCAGTAAAAATCTTTCATGAATTCTTAAATAATCCTTTCTTTGGATCTCGCATCTCGATTTCAGCTTTGCATTTTGTTATTATATGACTTATGCGATGGAGAAATTAAATCGGCAAGTCGATTATTTCGATAGCCATCGTAAACGATATCCCTTGTCGTGTCCCTTCCAGCCAAACTGCTCGCTAAAGCGCAGTCATTTGAATCGTAAAATACGCAGAAGACCGGTTAAATCGTAAAATACGAAGGCCGATTGAATACACGTTCGAAATAAGTATTTGCGTTGGCGACGATATTACGGCTTGTCGTTGCTCGATCTGACTCCGGAATTAAGCTTACGTGACAGAACTCAATATGAAAGATTGCATTTGTGATTAAGGACCAGTATTTTGGAAGCAAAAAGAATAATATCATTCTATGACTTGGAAACAAGATTAAATATTGATAATATCGCCATATCATTTAGCAGAAAGTATCACGACGGCACAGATAGCGGAAGGCTCTCAACGTCTCAACGGTTCATAAAGGAAACGAATGCTCGCTCGACAGAACCACTTCGTCATCGTCAGGCCATAGAAAATTGCATTTCGCCACGTCGATGTCGTGTTTGCTGAAACGCGACAGAACATTTACTGTCGCAACAACGAATACCGCGGGGACACGGTGGTCTCTGTCCACGTTCGTTTCATGCTCAGGAGGCAACAGGCACGAGGAACGGCGATCTATCGCCGAGTAAGTCTGCTCGATGTGACTGCAGACTGCATAAAGGACTTATACGCTCAAATTCGCCGCCATGAAATATTAACTCGTAGTCCACAGTCCACATAGTTCTCGACCCGTTTTCTTACCGCACATGCAGCATTAAATACGCTCCATCGATTTCAAGTCTTTGTTCATATCGCGTTTATGCATGTAACGTGTTACTTTGTACACAAACATAGCATTTATAATCTCTTATATACGATAATCATTTGCATAATCATTTGCATAATCATTTGCGAATCGAGAGATACAAGATTAAAAAATATTTTTACTCGGGATTTCATTTTTAATATAATATTTCATTTAATAATATAAATTATATAAAGACAAATGCGGAAGTCACATTCAGTCTTGTGATCCTCAGGTACTAAATGCAGAACCTCTGATTCTTTAAACATTCTCCATTAATGGCAGGTGGTCTGAGGAAAGCCAAGGTTAGATGTCGAGAATCCGCAAGAGTATGCCAAGGAGTAAGGACGAACGTTTATGATCGTATAGGAGAGAAAGGATTAGAAGGATTAGCGCAGCAGGTGATCGTTTATTGCGAATGTTCTGACTATTTGAACGGCTTGCATGATGCCATCACTTTCACCGTCATAAGCTCGTTCAATAAGCTTGCATTTTGACTGACATATTGTTGGCATAATTCCATGAAGCGTTTATTATCTCCAAAGTAAAATGATAAAGAAGTAGTTCGTTTGCAACGTTGTCGGTTTGATATTATTTGTATTGTGTTACTAATTTTTTTTTTTAATTAACAAGAAATTTGAAGGAAATCTTAATTTAAAGTTTAACTTATTTAGGTATAAATTAAAATATTAAAATATTAAGGTATTTAAGTTGTAATTAAAAAAAAATCGTTTTTTTTTTTTTTTAAGAAAACATCTCGACTTCAAAACTGTTAAAAAATCTATAATCAAAATATGTGAAATTCGTAAAAATTTGTTTATCATTGATTCTATTTATCAATAAGATTACAATACAATACATGGATAACAATTTAATGAAACTCTTTGTACAAGAAATCTTTTTTAATACGTACATACAGTACTATGCTGCGAGATTGCAATAAAATTATATATGTGCATTTATGAGAGCCAAAAAACCATCTTTTATCTCACTTATTGTTAATATCTCACTTATCTATTATAAATATAATATTTCAACCTCATGCCCAATAACTATCTCAAGTTTTCTCTAATATGAGTGCATAAATCGCTTGTAAGCCGTGTTCTTGATTCGCAAAAAATCTCGCGAATCGCGTCGCGCGACGGGGGTTCAGATACGGTTCAGGGGACATTTGTGTGGGAATACTGGTTCGACTGTTGCTCTGACAAGTTCGTTTCGCGCGTCGGTAAATGCCGATAAGATTTTCTCTCCTTCTCTCTCTCTTTCCTTCGTGACATTGGACGGACGTTTTGACAAACGTAAAAATGAAATTGTCACGAGAGCTAAGAGCGTATCTCGCGGTGATAAGAATCGTCGGAGATTTACGGCGCGCAAATGATTTATGACAAGACATCTTAGTTTTTCGCGTAAAACTTCTCACCTCAACGACCAAAGCATTTACGCGCCAACTAGTTACCCGGTACCAGTTTTGTGCGACGTGGGTTAAGGGTCAGTACGCTAGAATGATTGGCGATTTTACGTCGACTAAAACGATTGCAATGTCTCCGTTGATTTTAAACGTTATTCTAATGAGGAACATATTTGCTACAAACAGCTAAGCGTTCATTTGTATAGAAAGATTCAAGACACTCATCTCTTGCTTGAACAGCATTCCTATAATCATTTCTTCCTACCCTGATATGAGATGACAAAAATTAGAAAATAATCAGTAAGCGGAATCAGCATCTCTTCTCAATAGAATTACTTATTCATAGAGATTTAAATATTATATACAAAATTATATCCATATAATGTTATTTAAAAATCAGTCATATTTGTTTCAAGCTGCAGTCGAATATTTCAACGTGGCATGTGCTTGGCGATGATAATTGATAGATGCAATTTTTTAAAATAAAACGTATTAAAAAATACGTAATAAAATCTCGGTAACATTTCGCATCATATATACGTAACAACCGAAGGCGCCATATACATCGCGTGATGCGGTTCACAACGTTCTGACCGAAAGGTAATAAATCCAGAATGAATTACTGCATTGGACGCTCGCATGTCTACGGCTCTCTTAAGCGCTTCCGAAATCTTAGCGGCGATCTCGGAATGGGAACCATTCCTAACAGCGCCACGTAGCCCTTAACGTGACGTCGTGTTATCGCGGTCGTTTGTTACGTTCCCTACGTCCATCTGTTGCACGCGTAGATTTTCGCCGACGATGACGACGACAATTTCCTTTACCGTCCCTGTAAGTCTAACGAGCTGCATAACTTCTCCGCGCAACATTGTTGCGGACTGCGTTTTGTGTCTATGCGTCACCGAGGGCAAGCTTGCACAAACGTTTCTTCGTCGAACTGACAGCTATCGGCTCTGTAAACTTTATGAATCTCATAATTCACGCCAGATTTATCAGGCCAATAAAGCTATATGACACTTGGGTTCAATGGGTTTGATTATGTGTACCTATATGTTTCAACATTCTCTTTGCTATAAATAAAACACGTTTACTGCAGTTACAGTTACAGATTTGTAAATGATGTTGTATTTCGTATGCAGACTTATGCATATGTTTATTTATAAAGAGAAAGTTTACAGATATTATTTCTGTAAATCAGTTCTATTCTAATAAGTAAATGAAATTTAACAAAAAATTCTTAAGAAACAATTTGATTCAATTTTGTGATACAAAAATATAAGCAGAATTATTTGATATAATTAAAAAGTATTAATTTATAATTAACATTTGTGCATTTCTATGAAATTAATAGCTAATAATAATAAATTAATATAGTAAAATTAATCAAATAATAAATTAAATGAGAAATATGTTCTATGCATTTATTTCTAAAATTTATTAATTTTTATTGTTTGTATTTCATTGTTTCACGGTTCCTCTAGTCATATATTAATTATATCCGAATACTTAAATAATTCCGAATACTTAAATAATTATATTTCCACATGTGAAACATATTACCATTATTTAATAAATAATAATAGAACCTTCTAATTTGTAAGTAAAAAAAAATCACAATTTTGAGAGATATAGTTTCCTGTCGGAAGCTTTCACTAAATTAATAATAAATCCTAACTAAACGGAGTAAAGCATAGATTTTCGTAGAAATACATGACACGTCTTGCACGTCTGGTGGTTAGTGGCAATAAACACCGGTTTTTTATTGCCTGATCTCATAAATGTTAGTCCCGCCGTTTCCTTTTTTTCTCGCGCACCACCCAGATGCGGTGTCATCCAGAAGCGCGTCTCGCAGTTTCCAACTTTGTGCGGTCTGTCGTAAATCAAGCAATTTAACGAGATCAATTTAACAAGATCAAAGTGTGACGATCCCTTTCCTGAATTAGCCATGTACTCATAAAAATCGGATTAAGATTACGGCTGTATTCTATCATATGATATACTTTCCATTATCGTTAATATCTCTTGCATCCATAAAATGCATACAACGAACTATAAATTGTTACTTATATTTATTCATCATATATTTACCATTATCGTATCAATAATCTATTTTTACCAAATGACTAATTGTAAGAGAATATAAAAATTATTTTTAATTTTAATATTTGTATTACTAAAAATTAATGCACATTAGTATATTGTATTTTAATATATATAAATTAAATATTGTTTTGTTATTTATGAACAATTAAAAGCAT